TTCAGGCGACTTAACCTCGCCACCATCAACACCTTGACTTTTTGTCGATAATGATTCTTATATGTTGTCGTTATGCTCGGTGTGGCTGGAGACGCCATAGGTATTGTTCTTGCTGTTTGTTGTTTCGGTTGTGGTGCCGATTTAGGTTGTGGATCGATAAACTGCATTGATTGATTAATAGTGTCATCGGTCGCAAGTGTTGCTTCACTAAATTGTTGTGGCCGATTGTGGACTAGTATTAGATTAACTACGGATGGTAACCCTTTGTCCGATCAGAATTCTGCCACTGGATTTTCCGTTTCATGTGACGCAATTTGGGTTGTCAAGGTTTTGGACGCTTGTTCGATTTGACTGGATGTTCCAAATACCTTAATGAATGCCATTTGTACTTCTTTCCAGTTATAATTCACCAATGTTTGCCGTTGCAGACGATACCATGATTATGGCCCACCAATTAATTTGAACGAAAGTCCTAGTCGGCGTTGATCGTCGTCACAGCCAACTGTTGTGCAGGCTTCATTGAAACTCATAAGCCAATGGACTACATTCTGACCAACTTCACCAATGATGGGTAGGACATAATAAAACATCAAAATCAAGACGAGAATCATTATCGACAAAAAGTCAAGGTGTTGAAGGTGGCGAGGTTAAGTCGCCTGAACATGAACATGCGGATGAAGAAGGCAAAGATCATGCTCAACATGAAGATGGTACCTTATTAACTGAATTAGCATCCAATGTAGCTGATACAGCGTCAAATATTATGGAGAACATAACAAATGTATTTAAAGTAACCAATGAAGAAAAAAATGAAGATGATAAGAAAGAAGACTCTAATAACGCTGAACAAGATACCGTTGATGTTAAAGAAGATGTTGAAGAACATGGAGAAGAAACAAGCGATTATCGTATAGGTTATACATTTATCGAAAGTCAAGAACAACAGCCACAGAATTGGAACAGAATGATTTTCTGTTCCATCCTTCGAAATGACCTATTGGTAATTGGATTCAATAATTTGTGAACCTGGACATACGACAAACAACAGCCTTACTTGAACATTTCAAACCATTATCAACAACAGCAATGACCGTAACACCGTAAAATTCCAATCATTTTCCGAATTAGGTAGTAAATCATGTGAGGACAAAAACGACGTAATAAAGTGTCCATGCAATAAGGGAACAGTGACCAAAGATATTTACATCAGAGAACGAGAACATTACGTCAGAGAATGAGATTTCTACGCTTCCTAACAGCTGTCTAAGTAATATGAAAACTTGAGTGAGAAGTACTGGTTAATGAAGTGAGGATCCTGCAGTCTTTTCACCCGTTCTTCTACTTACCTCTAATTAAACAAAAACGATTGAAGTCTCGGTTCAACCAGTACTTCTCACTTAAGTTTTCATATTACTTAGACAGCTTAGTCTTGTTCTTCTCTTCCTCTTTCTTCTTGATCGTCTGAAATAGTCGACATATACATCCTATGTGGAAGAAAATGACTTAGTCCTACTGTTTTTCATAAAGAAAGGCGGTCATGAAAATTTGTAATCTTATAATCTTCAATATTGTTTCGCATTTCAAATCAATAGAATCCTCATCAACACATTCATGCACAGTTTCACAATAACGCCAGTTGTCTTGAGCTTTTTGTCACGTATTCGTTCTTCGTTCTGTTCTTTCACTCACATGGTACCAACATATCTCTATTTCCTTCTTTGTGGTGAGTCATGTGTGGAACGTTAGTAAGTTACTTGCCTAATAAGCCTTTTCATGATTAGCATAGGTTTGGGAAGTACGAGGATCGACTATTTCCGGTCCTCATTTTACCATGTGGGCATGATTTCCAATGCTTACTCTATTTTTTCTTTCAGCATTTATTGCAAAGATTGTAGCACCTCTTTCACATTTGCAGTAACGTTAATCCTTGTTCAATTTGTTTGTTTCCGAAATCGTATACTTCAAAAAGATCCTTCTATTCTAATTCGTGTAGTTTCTATTATCTTTTTGGATAGCTATCACAAAAATCTGATATGCCAAATTCGCATTCAAATGGTCAAATTGAGCTCTGCTGCTGCGTGCCTATTACATGTGAAGAGATTGATCATAAAACGCTTGTCTACGTACAGCGTATACGCTGGAATGAAAAATACAATCGTGGGTACTGTACAAAGAGCTGCACTAAGCATAACATGACGACGATCCACACATATTGGAACGGCCGACTAGCGTCCTCACCGGAGCGATTTCCTTACTACGTTCCAAGCACTTGGTTTCGCCTCAGCTTGCAGATAGACTCCACATCTATTCCGGATTGGGACTCAAAATGGCACACGCTATACCACGGTACACGTTCACAAAACATTCATAAGATTCTCGAAAATGGATTTCGGGTTCGCGAATGCCAACATGGGTTTCCAGCGCTGTATCTTTCTCCTAGTATTCATTATTCTTCGCATCCGAGGTACGCTCGCGTAGTTGTGCACAACGGCCTGTTCTTTCAGTTTGTACTGGAGGTGCGAGTCGATGTTAGAAAACTGCAGCCTATAAAAAAGCGTGAAACGCTCGAGGTTGGTGTGAAAGGTGACATCGATCCAAACTTTCCAAACAACGAAGATCTTGAATTCTTATTGAGGGTGCAGGAAGGAAAATTTCTAAAACCTCGGGAGGGTGTAGTTGTAACTGGTGTCATGGTTCGGAAAACAAACTTCGATCCTGCATTGCTGCCGTCGAGTTGGTGGTGGTGCAAATGGCGTAATTGGCTGCAACTTCATCATTACTACTACAACGACATCACGCAGCGCAATGAGAGCACAAAGTGATTTTCCTTCATCCTTCAAGATGCTTCTTACTTCAGCGAATTTAGTACATTCGACGTGACGAGCTTCATCGATGGGTGTCACTATATTCAAGAAGTAACTTAAAAAAAACTCACTGTTCCCTTGGTCTTAGACAAAAAGCTGTAAGAAATCAAGTATCCCCTCTGTTTTTTATTTTATAATCTTTCAAAAAATCATGGAGGGCGCTTTTTGAAAATCTTCGATACACCTAATTTTGTAAATTCTATAACTCGGCGAAATCAAGTCCAAACGACCTTAAAATGTTTTCATAACCCCAGTTTTGATCATAGAATCCAAAAATAGAAAAAAATATATAGGTCAAAAGATTTCACTTGG